GAGATACCATAGAACCCCGGTGTAATTCATTACAAATGGATTGAATTGAACATAGACATAACTGCATAAAATCGGTAAATAAGTTTTCTGAATGGATTAATCTTGAGAGACCATATATTTTAAAAGATCATGGTTGATTCTGGTAGTTGTAGAGATGTTTCTCTGTAATTTGATAGCAGTATATTTTTATTAATTGACTGAATAATTTGTTTGTTCTTATTAACCATTATTTGTCACTTTGTTATTTTTTGGCTTTGCATGCCGTATTTATTTGAAAATTTATGCTTCACTTTGTATCCTTTATTTGACTTGAAAAGATATAATGACTTTTTAATTATTTTTTTAAAGATAAAACATGTTTAAGTGTAATAAATGTATCTTCTGTGTTAAGACCTGAAATTATTAAAAATTGTTTCTTCCATGGGGAATTCAAGCTTAAAAATAGTTTTGTCCCATGGTTTTCTTCAACGAAAAAAATCATTGTCCCATGCATGCTTGTACTCGACCTATCATTCTGATACATTTTGCTTTGTCTCTCAGTGGCGTATATCTCGTATTCCGCTTCTTAAGTGACTAAAATTAATAAATCAGGACTTAAGTTTTAAAAAAAAATATATAATAAATTTGATGTTCTAAACAAACTTCAATCTTTTTTAAAGCTTTTGAAAGCATCCAATCTAAGAACAAATTTAAGCAAAAAAGCAGTAAACAGTGTTATTTCTCTCTTATTAAAGGTCAAGTCTTTTGCTCTTTTATCACATTGTATCTTGATATGACTACCTCTCCATATGTGAAAATAAGCAAAAAATTAAACATACTTGAAATATATCAAAATAACTAATTTTCTCTAAAAATTAATATAAATAGAGGAAATTTGGACTAGCTAATATCTCTATTGTAGTTGAATTATTCATTTTGATTTTGTAGTGTCATCTGATAGACATTGTATGGTGATGTCTTTTTGTGCAAAAAGATAACATTTAATCTTCTGAAATATAAGTTGACATTAAATGATTGGCCACAGTAATTTTTTTAATTCCAAATGTATAGGAAAATGGTCTTGATCTTGCACCTAAAATAAAACGGTCAAATTTTATCTTGTTGACTCTTTCTAGTTCTTCTGAGCTAAAGGTTCAAAGATTGATTGATTGATTGATTGGTGTTTAACGCCGAGTCGGCAATATTTCAGCCATATTTCGGCAGGAAAATATGTTAAATGATCAGTTTTGAGAGTTTTTTGGTTTCTCAGGCGGCCCCCAGTGAGCCTACTCTTTTCCGAAAACCGGAGAAACGATCCTTTGCGTGCCAAGGGGGTTGTTATCCTTGACACGGGGCACCGTTTAACGTCCCATCCGACGGACTTAAAAATTTAAAAATATTTAAACAGTTAAAAATAAAACATGTTTTAATCAACAAAATATATTGCACTGTGTACTATTAAATTTTACTGTAATAATCAGTTTCATGTACATAATCTAAAATTGTATTAACATTAACTTTTGTAAATAGTTCACGCATCGTTTGTACATTATTGAAAAGTCTACCTCGAATAGGCGAAAAATCGGTACATTCTAAAAGAATATGATTTATAGTAAGCGGACAGTCACATGATATACATTCTGGCTGTAATTCTCTATTAAATAAGTATGCATGAGTTATTTTTGAATGGCCTATACGTAGTCTTGAAATAATCACTTCATCCTGACGTTTGAGGCCAAAGTTAGATGTTTTGTTATTTACTTTGTTCTCTATAGCATATAGTTTACTTGTATCACAAAACTCCCAATACACTTGCCAATAGAATTTACATACAGTTTCACTTTATATTTCAGATCAGTATAAGGAATTTTAAAACAGGTTATGTCATATTGAAGGGCCATTTTTGCAGCGCTATCAGCCTTAGTGTTTCCAATAATGCCAATATGACTTGGAATCCAACAAAAATCAACTACTTTACCTTGTTGTGTAAAATGAAAGTACTGAATCAGTATATCTAGAATGTATGGTTGATCGATATTCATATTTTGTATAGATTGTAAGCAAGAAAGAGAGTCCGAAAATATTGTAAAATCGTTTTCATTAGAGGATCTTATATATTCAAATGCTAGCTGTGTGGCTTTTGCTTCTGCTGTAAATATTGTTGCTTCATTTGGAAGCCGTAAAGAGAAAACATTGTTTTTATTCACTGCAGCCGCAGCTACTTTATTGTTGTCTTTAGAACCATCTGTATAAATTTCGACTGAAGAATTTTTTGATTGTTTTATTTCGGCTAATTTCTGTTTAAAAACAAGAGAATTGGTTTCTGATTTCTTAAACTCAGTTAAAGATGTGTCTACATTTGGTTTAATTAATTTCCATGGAGGTATTTCAGATAAAGTTGTAGTTTTTATGATATCCAAAGGTATTTCGGAATCTCTGATATGTTTTCTAGATCTTAGACCAATAGGCTTTATACAAGTTTTACTTTTATCATACATATGTTCATACTGCGGATTAAAAACACAATCATAAGCAGGATTATTAATGTTTGCTTTTAATTTGAGAATATACTGTAAGGTGAGTTTGATTCTTCTCAAGTCCAGCGGTGGCTCATTTGCTTCGACATATAAACTATTTACAGGAGAAGTTCGAAAAGCTCCCAAGCAAAGTCGAAGGCCTTGATGATGGACTGCGTCAAGAGCTTTCATGTATGAAGCTCTTGCCGAGCCATATATAATGCAACCATAATCTAATTTAGATCTAACTAAAGAGCGATAGAGTTTCAAAAGAGTATTTTTATCTGCCCCCCATTTTGTATTCGCAATGACTTTTATTACATCCAATGCCTTTGTACATTTTTCTTTCAGCATTTTAATATGTGATATAAAAGAAAGTTTGCTGTCAAAGATTATGCCTAAAAATTTAATCTCTTTTACTACTTTTATAGGGATTCCATCTAGTAGCAAACGTGGTTCATCATGAGCTTTCCGTTTGGAGCAGAAGTGTACACAGGAGGTTTTACTTTTTGAGAACTTAAATCCATTCATATCAGCCCAATTTTGTATTTTGTTTAGACAGACCTGTAATTTTCGCTCAATATAATTCATACTTTTAGATTTGAAACAGAGAACAAAATCATCAACATAAAGACTGCCATATCTCCATGTGGTATCATAGGCCTTTTCTAAATCGAAAAATACAGATACAACATGCTCTTTATGTATAAAAGCATTTCGAATATAGGTTTCCAGTCGTACTAACTGGTTAATAGTACTTCGGTTTTTTCTAAAACCACATTGTATATTGGTTAAACTGTTATTGGTTTCAAGAAACCATATTAGGCGTTCATTGATCATCCGTTCCATGGTTTTACATAAGCAGCTTGTTAAAGCAATTGGTCGGTAGTTATTAGGATCTGTATGGTCCTTTCCAGGTTTTGGAATAGGGATAATGGTAGCTTGGGTCCAGGAGGGTGGAAAAAGACCTCGTGTCCAGATAGAATTGAAAATTTGCAAAAGACATTCTTTACTATTCTGGGGGAGATGTTTAATTATTTGATAGTGAATTTGATCCGGTCCTACCGCAGTATCATGAGATTTATCTAAAGACTTTTGCAGTTCATCTTATGTGAATGGTTGATTATAACATTCCCGGTTTTCAGATGTAAAATTTAAGGTTTTCTCTTTTTGTGAGTTTTTATATGGAATAAATGTAGGGCTCATATTGTTTGTGGAAGAATTTGTAGAAATTGTTTTAGCTATTTCATTGGTTATTTCTTTTTTATTCGTAATTATTTGATTTCCAATATTAAGATGCTGATATTTTTCAGGACCCTTTCCCTTAATTTTTCTTATTGCGTTCCAAACCTTATTTATCGGAGTATGCGAATTTAGACTAGAAACAATTTTTTTCCAAGATTTTCATTTGCTAAAATTAATGGTTCTACGAGCTTTTGCTCTAAATATGCGGAAATTGCTTAAATTTGTTGATGTTGGTAATCTATTGAAAAGTTTTTCAGCTTTTTTGCGAGCTTTAATAGCATCATCACATTCTTCTGTAAACCATGTTTTTTTTAGTTTTAGTAGACTTTGCCGAAGTTTTAGGTATACATTTAGTTGCCGTGCTTAATAGTATTTCAGTGAATTGTTGAATAGGATCAGGATGGTTTTCAAACTTCTCAGCCAAAAGATCTTGTAAGCATAATTGTTCAAATTTTGTCCAATCAGCCTTGTTTAGTTTCCAGTTTTGTATATAACTATTTTCTGAAGGTTTATTTACTTCGACGATTATTGGTAAATGATCACTCCCACATAAATCGTCATGTACCGACCAGCTCAAATCTAAGAGTAAAGAAGGATCTACTAAAGTGATATCTATAGAAGAGTATGAACCATTACCTGGATGTAGGTACGTGTTTGAGCCATCATTTAGTATACATAGATTATGATGTGTTATTGCTTCTTCGATTTTTTTCACTTTATCTGTTATTTTGTCACTACCCCATAACGGATTATGGCCATTAAAGTCACCCATAATCAGATATGGTGTAGGAAGCTGTTGTATTAAATCTGAAAGTTCCAAAGATTGTAATTGATAGTTTGGAGGTACATAAACAGAACAAAGTGTCATTGTTTTATCAAGAGAAAGGCGAACAGCTACTGCCTGTAGACTAGTTTTTAAAGGTACTTGGCTATGAATGTATTTATTATTAACTGCTATAGACGTACCACCAGACGCTTTTTCAGCCAGAGCATAATGGTTATACATACTATAGTTCTTAATGCTAATTTTATCCGTTTCTTTTAAATGTGTTTCTTGTAAGCATAAAGCTACCGGGCAATGGTCTTGAATTAAAAGGGATAAATCATTAAAATTAACTCTAAAACCTCGGCAATTCCATTGTATAAAAGTAGGATGAGTCATTTTTACTTGCTGTGAGTAATGGGGGATATCCTCCCTTTATTTTTATTGGGTGACTTACTTTGAACTCGCGAGGAAGAATGGCACGGTGTAACGTCCATTTACAAGAAGATCCCAAATTTAGTATGAAGAGCGACGGGATCATGTGACCCTTTGCGCAACCGATCGCTCGATTGCTTTTGGGTATATTTGGAGGGAGATCTGTTTTGTCTCCCAGACAATTTAGTTAAGCCTGCAGCTGCGGGTTTTGATGTAGCTTCAGCTACAGATTTTGGAGTACCCACTGTTGTAGGGCTTGCAGAAGTAGGTGGTGAAACTGCTTTGGAGTTGTCATTAGATGACAAAGGAACATTAGATGTGGAGGTTTGTTGAGAAAGATCATTCTCACAAACCTGAGTAGACGAATCCTTCTTTGAGGATGCTTTTAAAACTGTTGAGTATGATGGCAGATTAGGTTTAGGTACAGTATACATATTGACCAATTTTTTTGCTTCTGGATAGGGAATCCTTTTTTCTGTTTTAACTTTTTGAATTTCTTTTTCTTTTAGCCATATTGGGCATTGTTTTGAGGAAGCCATGTGGTCCCCCTTGCAATTCTTGCATTTGAGGTCTTTTTGACAGCCTTTGCCATCATGCCCCTCCTCACCACACCTGAAGCATGTATCATTGCCTTTGCAGTTTGATTGTCCGTGTCCAAATCTCTGACACTTGAAACAGCGCAGTGGATTGGGAACAAACATTTCAATTTTCATGACATACAGACCAACTTTAATGTTTGTTGGAAGTGTAGGTGAGCAAAAAGTTAACAAGTAAGTGTTCGTCGCTTCGATGTTGTCGTTGCGCTTTTTCATGAACCGTTTTACAGAGATCACGCCTTGAGATTCCAGTTTAGATTGGATTTCCTGTTCAGGAATGTCGTCAAGGTCATGATCTCTGTCATACAGAATACCTTTACTTTGGTTGAGCCCAGAGTGAATTTTACCGATAACAGGGATATCTGCTAGAGTATTCAATGCCAGCAAGGATGAAGACTGTTGTTTTTTAGAGACTTCAATTAGAAGAGCTCCAGATTTTAACTTTTTTACAGATTTTGGAGTTCCAATTACTCCCTGTATTCCTTTCTGTATGAGAAAAGGCGACACCTTTGTAAGGGGCTTTGTTTGTTTTTCTGATAACTTTGCTTCAAGTGTGATGAAGCGGGGCCAGTGTTCTACAACTGAAGTAATCTGCTCATCATTCATAAAAGATTCTAAACCTGATGGGTAACAGCGTTTTTTAGTAAGAGCCATAGTTTAATAAATAAAATTCAGAATCCTTGCTCCCCGCCCGCCACGGAGCGCCAACAAGGGCGGTGTCAAGTCAAACGAACATCCAGTAAGATTGACACCAAGAGGATACAAAGAGACTATACTCAGACATAAGATATATCTGATTGACCCTAAGCCACCGCTTGATATACATATATTAACATGGAAACGTCGGCGTCTTGGAAATTTGCACAGTCAGGAAATAACGAAAGGGTTACAAATACATCAATACTAAGGCATGTAAATAACCAGAAGTCTCTGTTGAGACTGTAGCTCTACTGGTTTGTACTTATAACAAAGGATGAGAAAAGAAGCCATTGCCATCAGACCAAAACTGTAGGAGTAGCATTATAAGGAATTTCAGACATTTCTATTTTTAGTAACAATGGCAACACCGTTCATTGAAATCAAAAACTGATGCATTATTTTATGTATTTTAGTGTAGTCTACTTGTGTTCTAAGTTATATTGAAATCAGACCAAAACTGTAGGAGGAGTAGCATTTTAAAGGAATTTCACAGAAAAATCTATTTTTAGTATTCATTACAACACCGTTCATCGAAATCAAAACCGATGCACTATTCTATGTATTTTAGTGTAGTCTACTTGTGTGCTAAGTTATATTGAAATCAGATCAAAACTGTAGGAGGAGTAACATTTTAAGGGAATTTCACAGAAAATTCTATTTTTAGTAACCATGGCAACACCGTTCATCGAAATCAAAACCGATGCACTATTTTATGTATCTTAATGTAGTGTACTTGTGTGCCAAGTTGTACTGAAATAAGATCAAAACTGTAGGAGGAGTAGTATTTAAAAGGAATTTCAAAGTATATTCTATTTTTAGTAACCATGGCAACACCGTTCATCGAAATCAAAAACCGATGCACTATTTTATGCATCTTAGTGTAGTCTACTTGTGTGCCAAGTTATATTGAAAGAAATCAAACCAAAACTGTAGGAGGAGTAGCAATTGAAAGGAATTTCACAGAAAATTCTATTTTTAGTAACAATGGCAACACCGTTCATCGAAATCAAAAACCGATGCTCTATTTTATGTATCTTAGTGTAGTCTACTTGTGTGCCAAGTTATATTGAAATCAGACCAAAACTGTAGAAGGAGTAGCGTTTTAAAGGAATTTCACAGAAAATTCTATTTTTAGTAACCACGGCAACATCGTTCATTCAAATCAAAAATCTATGCACTATATTATGTATCTTAGTGTAGTCTACTTGTGTACCAAATTATATTGAAATCAAACCAAAACTGTAGGAGGAGTAGCAATTGAAAAGAATTTCACAGAAAATTCTATTTTTAGTAACCATGGCAACACCGTTCATCGAAATCAAAAACCGATGCTCTATCCAATTTTATGTATCTTAGTGTAGTCTACGTGTATGCCAAGTTATATTGAAATCAGACCAAAACTGTAGGAGGAGTAGCGTTTTGAAAAATTGTTTACAGACAGACGGACAGACAGACGGACAGACAGACAGACAGACAGACAGACGGACGGACGCCGGACGCATTACTATCGCATAAGCTCTTCTGGTCTCTGACCAGTAGAGCTAAAAATCAGCTCGGCGTGACCAGCCGCTTGATCAAATCGGGCCAAACTTGACCTCCCGTCTAGATGAATATGGGGCCAAAGTGGAGTGTTGGTCGAACAGGTGCGTTACACCAAGCACCTGCAGACCTCAGCCACCAGGATCCCCTCCTCCACCAACACGGGTCGCAACCCACGGCCAACAGGTTGCTTCATTTAGTCGCCTTTTACGACATGCAAGGAGGTGCCGGGGACCTATTCTTGTCACCCCGGGTCCCCACGGGGAAAAGGTTCAAAGAGCTAATGAGCTAATGCTATGGCCATTTGTGCGGTGTGTATAAACATTTTAAAATATGGGCCATAACTCAAGAACCCCTCGGCCAGTTATTGTCAAATTTGTCACAGGGTATCCTTGGACGAAATGCGCCCGTTTGTACTACAACTAAGTTTGTGACCCTTAAACAATGGGAGATAGTTAGGAAAATACATACAAATCAAGATATGTTTATAAAACTCTATGCACCCGGCGGCAACAAGTTTTGTAAAACTATTTTCAGCATATAGGTCATAGTCAAGGTCACAAGGTCAAGAACTTGGTGTCTTTTGAAAGAATTTAATTTGTGGGGTATGCATACTAAATATGAAGTCTCGATCTCCTATGGTTAAAAAAAATGTGGCCAAAGTTCGAAAAAGCTATTTTTAGCTTATAGGCCACAGTCAAGGTCATTGACCTTGATGTCATTTGAAAGAGCGTAATTATTGAATTATGTATAATAAATATGAATTTTCTGTCTTTCATGGTTCAAATGTTATAGCGAACGTTGACTACAGAAAGACAGACAAACAGATAAACAGAACAACAAATTAACAGAAAAACAGACAGGACAAAAACAATACTCCTCGGATCTATCGATCCAGACACATAACAAGATGTGTTTGTGTAAAACTATGCGCCCGGCAGCTGTAAAGTTCTTTAAAGCTATTTTTAGCATATAGGTCAAGGTCGTTGTGTTTTGAAAGTACATGTACTTAATTAGTGGAGAATGCATACCAAAGATGAAGGTTCGATCTCCTATTATTCAAACGTTATGGCCAAAGTTCGAAATAGCTATTTTTAGCATATAGGTCACAGTCAAAGTGATTGACTTTATTAAAGAAGTATGCATATTAAATATGAAGTCTCTATCTCTCATAGTTGAAAATTTATGGCGAAAGTTCGAAAAAACTATTTTAGCATAAAGGTCACAGTCAAGGACACGAGGCCGTTAACCTTGGTATTATTTGAAGGGTTTATTTAGTGAAAAATGCACAGCAAATATAAAGTCTCTATCTCTCACGGTTCAAAAGTTATGGCGGAGATTAAAGTTGATAACAGACAGACAGAGAGATAAACAGACAGACAGACGGACAGGACAAAAACAATATACGCCCCGATCTATCGATCCGGCAGCATAAGTACGTGTTGCTAAAAAATCATCTTCTTAAGAACCACTAGCCAGATAATCACCAAACTTTCACAAAATAATGAGGATATGTTGTTAATTGGATTTTGCAAGGGGAATCACCTAGGGGCAAAAAGCATAGTCCAAAAGTCACTTCAAAGTTGACCAAAAATTACATTTTTTAATATATATTGAAATTTTGCTTACTACGCAGCACTGTTAAGGCTAGAAAAAGGAGGCGGGGCCTAATTATACGGGAAAAGTTTATTGTGACGTCACACAAAAAACATGACTTTTATTCATACCTCATATTACCCGAAAATGAAATAATTTGCAACTTTAAACTGTATTAGCATAATAAACAACAATAAAACTGATCAATGCATTAACAAAAGTCTCTAGTTAGATCCCATACAGCTGGTTTTAAACAAACCACTGATCTCGATGAACTTGTCACTCATGACAATCACGTATTTAATGTGCAGTGAGAGGCAGATTTGGGAATTTTATAATTATGAAAAATGCGTTTTATTATAAAACAGAGTATTATTTACAGGTTTTTAACAGGCTAATAATACCAATGTATACCATTTGTTTAGTGCGATTATTCCTCGAGAGAATGTATTTAGATAATTCTGTCGTGTTTTTATGTTCAGGTTAGGTGTATTTTACGTCGAGGTGCCTCATTAAATCGCTCTTTCGCAAGGGCATACATGTACGAGGGTCATTCAAAAAATACGTAGACAATGCTTCTCATCGCCATATGATTATTACAAGATTATAGATCAACACCTTTTCGTAAACATAAACATTTATTTTGTCTAACTGTGAAGTTTCATTCCGTTTGATTAAACAGAACTCACGTTAGCCAAAATTAAAAGCAACATGTTTTGTTACCACGGAGCACGGTTAACCAATATTGTAACGTCAAAAACAACGCTGAGAAAGTTTGTCAAAAGTATACACATTTTTGTTATTTCAAACACGGTTTGTTGCGTCTTCTCCATTCTAAAAACACATATCCACAATACTTAAGACCTGGTTTGCTAACAAATGTACAAATATAGCTTGAATTAGAATGTTATTGTTTTCAAATTCTTTGATTTACCATGCAACTTTATTATTTCTGCAACATTGAAGCACACATCATGTTCAATGACGTTCCTAACTCTTTTGACAATATTTTTAACTTTAACCTGTTTCTTTGCAGACAATCCATCGTCCGATTCAAACTCGCTACCACTCAAAATTGTATTTTCAACTTAATACAAATACATACACAGATTTTTTTTTTCATACAGATCCTGATTTATAAGGATTTTTTAAGCTTGTAGAAAAAGTTTCCCGAATGTAAAGTCTAATTTTATTGCTACTTGCTGCTCCGTGACGTCCTCCAACGTCATGGTTTTTTGCCTTTTTTAATCAAGTCCATATGTATTTAGAAGCTGATATCTTTTTAATGGAACGAGATATTACATAACCTGATTTCATTTTAATTAATACAGCAATACTTTATTTAAACATGTAAATTTTATTTCGTTTCAGCTCCATTTATTAGAGGTATAGCTGTAAATACTATAAAGTGAAAATTAGAAAATTACTCAATTTTGACGGTGCTTCTTGACCCCATTTTTGCTGTTCTTAATCCTTGGTAATTTTCATAAATATGAGGATACATTCCAATTTTTTTACTCAAATTATTTGAATCTGTTGTTAAAATATTTGTACCAAATTTGGATATAATATGACGTTAAATAAAAAAGTTAGGACAAAAGTCTACGAACTTTTTGAATGACCCTCGTACACTAAATAGATCTTGACTATTTTTAGGTCACCTGAGTAAACTCAGGTGACCTATTGCTATCTGTTTTCGTCCGTCGTCGTTCGTCGTTTGTCGTGCGTCGTGCGTTAACATTTGAACATTTTCAGCTTCTTCTCTGCAACCACTAAACCAATTTCAACCAAATTTGGCACAAAGCATCTATGGGTAAAGG